GGTTTTCTGTGATTATGAACTTTTTTGTGACGATGAGCAACATCTTAAAATGCGAGGATTATGTATTTGAGATTTTTGAAAAGGAAAAAATCATTAAAAAAAACATCTGTTATTCATCGTTTATTTTTCATATTTTGGTCTTTTTGATTTTCAGACTCTTTTTCTTTGGAATGAATCATTTTTTCAGGTGTCTTCGATTTCTGTTTTTCCCTTTTTCTTGGGGGTCAAAATGAAAGATCACAATTTTTCAGAAAGGAAACTAGAGAGATCGAAATTTTGAAAAAAAAAAGAAGGAAATTTTTAAAATTGAAGTGATTGCTTTGAAATAAAGGAATCTGAGAATCCGGAATAATGACAATAGAACATTTTCAGAATTTTCAAATTTCAGATTTTCCGAATATTGGAATTTCGGATCTTTGGAACTTCTGAACGTGTTCATTTTCGAATTTCTGAATTTCTGAATTTCACAATTTTCCAAGAGGTCTCAAATTCCTGAAATTTCGTGAATCTTAAAATAATGGAAAACCAGAATTACAGATTGCTAATAATTTGGAATTTTTCAAATCTCTAAAAAAATCATGTTAAAAAATTTCAAACGTTTTAGAAATCTAGAAACACGAGGACGCCGAAATAACTTCTGTGTTTTAAAAACCTTCTTTAAAAAATCCTGAGATTCTCAATAGAGCGCATTTTCTAATTGTACCCGATGTGTGGTGTTTCTTCTATTTGGACCCAGTTTTTTAGATTCAAAAAGTTTCGCCACTAAAAAAAGATTAAAATCTAAAAGTGCGATCTTACAAATAGATGTTTAGTGTTTTCAACATTTTGTTTCTTCTTATCCAGATAAAATTTTCCAGAAATGTCTACAGTATTCCATCCCAAAAATGTAGCTGCTTATCATATTTTCGAAAAATTCAGGAGTACTTTTTGCATAACTCTATTAAGACTTTTTTTAAAGTTTTAACCCTCTTGAACTTTTTGAGTAGATTTTCTGGGTTACTGTACTTTTTTCAAATTGTTAGGCTCTTTGGTCTCGCGTCTTAACCGCCAAAACGTAGGTGGTTCGAAGAACAAATATGAGCAAAGAAACAGAGAAAATTCTGCCTAGCACAATTTCAAGTTAGAATTTCGAACTTTGAACTGCAGAATAAAAATTTGAACATTTGAAAAATCACTTTAAATTGTCAGAAAAATTGGACGAATTCTTGGAATTTTATTCCGTTCGGAACACATTTTTTTTTCGTAAAATTCTACAAAGAAGCCTGAAAAAAAATTATTTTCGGACGAAAAAATAAACCATTTTAAGAATTACAGGATTAGAGTTTATGACGGACAGAGATCAATGCTACTTCGGTCTCAAATCCTTTCTCGGATCAAAATGACCGTTTTTGTAGCAAAAATCCTTTTAAGAACTCATTTCTTCACATTTTTCAAAACCAATTTTTGTAGTTTAGAACCCAAAAAATCAAATTCTACGCTTAGAAAAACCGGTATATTTTTAAAGGAATCGAACTTGTGGGCTTCTGCTCCAAAGTTAGTCTTGTTACCGGTTGCGCCATCTCATCTTTGCGTGCGGCGCTCCACAGAGCGCCAGCACGCGTGGCGCAATCGGTAAAAGCGTGGACTTTAGAGCAGACGACCCACAAGTTCGATTTCTTCTGCGGGCTATAGGTTTTTCTAGACGTATAACTCGATTTTATGGGTTTAAAACCCCGAGATTTGCTTTGAAAACAGGTTATTTGTACTTTAACCTCTAGCCAATTCTCTAGTCAGTGCACCAACCACCTATTTGTACTCAATTGTGCCGGAGACCACTATGATCAGCGATCACTGACCAAATGTGTTTTATTTGTACATAAACTACGATAATAGGCACATTTTTCGGCGATAAAATAGTCTCTGCAAAGACAGACTGATCTTTTCATCGAAATGTGGACACGTGCTGATATGGACAGAAGGGGATTACTGTAGTAAAGAGAGAGAGAGAGAGGAGGTGATAAAAGAAGGATAAAATACCTGTATTTGGGGAAAAACTGAAGAAACGTGTGGTTTTGAACGGTGATACAACTGTAAAAATGGGGAGGAAGAAGAAGAAGATAGGTCAAAAATTTTTTGGAAATGATAAGAGGAGAAAATGACAGGAAGGGGAATTTAGATACCGAAAAAAGGGTGTTTTCCGGGTTTAAAAAAATTTTGGATTTCTAAATTTATCTCTATTTTTCAGATTTAGAATTTCGAATCAGGCTGTCAGTTAAGAATCTCAAAATTCAAGAATCACCAAATCGTAAAATTTTGCCTAATATATCCAGACCAAAAAATATAGAGATCGCGTACAAAATGGGGACAAAACAAGGCAACATGTTTCGGGGGGATACGGACATAATGGGCGATCTTTGCATATGTATTGGGATTCTTGTTTGAACAGAAGGCTACCTGACAAAAAGATATCATATTTCGACTTTTCATTAGTCTGCCTTGAGGCCCTAGAAAAGTATTCCAGAATTTTTCGATTTTTCTGAAAATTCCAGTGAACTGAATAAGATGAGAGCTTCATTTTCGTAGTTGACAACTTTTTTGTAAAAATTCATCTGAATGAAAAAAACGGTTCAAAATTTTGGTATCTTTCTGGAGAGTCCAGTTCTCCAAGTACTGTAGAATAATCCTTCAAAATAGAAAGTTTATTATAGCAGAAGATCCGATCACTGTACACCGTCACGTCAGAATGCATACCGTAGCTCCAAAAGAAATCCGAAAAAATCTACCGCAAAATAACTAACCAGTACATATATATTATCATCATCTGAAAACGATTCTGAAGATTCGTCTTCAAAAATTTCACTCCTGAAAACTTGTTGGTGGATAGAAAACAGCAATTTCCACAGCTTTTTCATGTTCCTCTCTCTCTCCTGAAAAAATAGCATACCGTAACAACTCTTATAGAGTAGCCATCCGCAGATCTTTAGCTTCGAGCCCATATATATCTTTCTCTGTAGAAGATATCAAAAAGCGATCAAATGACAAAATTTTTATCATAATATCATAAACATTTTGTAAATCGACTTCTTTTCTATGTCTTCCACAGGAATCGGAATTAATTGGCTCAAAGTTGAAAGTTAGAGAGTGGGACGTACTATTAAATTTTTTACAGTAAGTAAGCATGTGTAGCGGAAAATGCAATACAATTAATCAAAAAACTAATTTTTTGAAAAATTAATAAACTTTCTAATTGGTAAAAATAATCAGGTGCTCTGGACAGTTTTCAAAGATTTTTGAAATTTTGAAATTATTTTTTGATGATAGCTAATTTTTAAACTTTGCGATTCTCGAAACATCATCTAAATTATATTTAAAAAATATCAAAAATTTGTAGCCCTAATGTTTATGTGTTTTATGACAAAATATACTGTATTTTCTCCTTATCTCCTATCCTACATATCATCTCTTTTCTCTCTCTCCCCAACTAATCAGTTTCAATTAACTTCCGTCCGTTTAGTCGTTCATGGATTAGTTTTAATTACCGACGAGAATGATACATGTAGAACGTTATGCTACAAACAACGATATTGTCTTATCATAACCTAGTATTTGAAAACTTCCGTATTCCAAAAAAAAGGACAATAATTGATCTCCAAAAGAGTTATAACGTCAGAAGAGAGAATTTAGGGGACACAAATCAGAAGTTTTAATTTAACTGTTCTGACATCTAGTACTTCTAGAAAGTGTTAAAACGCGCCCTACCGCAAATTCATTGATTTCCAAAAGCCAACGTTATGGGGATTTCAAACAAAGATGTCGAAAACAGTACCGCGACCTAACCACGGTCCGGACCATGTTTCAGACAGTTTTGTGCCTAATACCGTAACCCTTCTAAAAGAATATCGTCAATTTCGACACAATTTTTCTTAGTTTCCATGAAAGATATCAAAAATTGATCAATTGCTAAAATAATGCTGATATTTTGATAATTATTTTGTTAGTTTATCACTTTTTGATATCTTTCACAATAAATGAGATATATGGGCTCCAAGTTGACGGTTTGGGAAGCTACCTGTTAGAGGGTTTACGGTCACTGTTTTTTAGTTACCGTAAACACTCTAATAGTGTTTGACCCTCTAAATCGTCAACTTCGAACCCATATATCTCCGTCCTTGTTGAAGATATATAAAAGTTGTTAACTAACACGTTTATAAAAATTATGGTGAGCATTTTTTCAGTTGAACCCTTTTTGGTATCTTTTAAAAAAAATGAGATATACGGGCTCAAAGTTGACAGTTTGAGGGGCAAAGGGTTTACGGTCACTGTTCTTAAAAACTGAATCTCCTTGATGTCTGAAGAAAAAAGGAAACCAAATAAGCATCTCCAATTTTCTTTATATACATAGGTCCTTCAAATCTACAGTAACCCAAACGCATGATGACAATTACCCCTCCCTAGTTCACACTACAACCCACGTGGTTCTGGGAAACAGGAAAAATGAGGTGAACAAGAAGAAGCAACGGAGAACGATCAGATCATGGGGCAATATTTGCATCATTTTTCGAAGGTTCAGAAATTCTTATTTTTCTTGTCTTTTTACATACTTTGCCCCCTTTTCGACTTGATGACGTCGTGTTCAGTGTTTTTTAAAAATCTAGATTTGAAGATCAAACTGCTAAGGTACAAAGTCACGATGAAGATCTTGAATTTCGAAAAATCATTTTGAAAATCTCAGTTTTCAATTTTCTGGATATTTCGAATCAATATCATTCAGAAATTCGAAAATTTTGTTCACCAAAAATCCAATTTCTGGTTTATTCTCTCTAAAATTTGGAAAAAAAACTGTAAAAAAGTACTCTGAATTTTCAAAAAAAAAATCTGAAAATTTGGAAAATTCGCTCTATCGAACTTTTTCAGTATTTATTCTGTATTCTCAATTAACAACACATTTATGACAGAAAATGAATATACCAGCTTTATGTCAACAATACAAATCTTATAAACATTCAAATAAATTCAACATTTTAAAATCCAGGCGTCGTCGTTTGCGCTCCACTGACAAACTCAAACGATGGTACTTTATTGTAATGGGGATATGTTGGATTGTTAATGACCGGCATTAAGTGCTCATACATGATAATTAGCAAAATTACACAAAATGTATAAATCACAACGAACAGCGACATTTCTTTCTTGGTAAATGGATTATCCTCTGTGTAGTCAGATGGTAGAGAGTATGTGGAAGCCATGTTTAAAGGTGCAGAGAGCAATTTGAAAAAGTAGGTCAAAAAATAGGGGAAATGGAAACGTTTAGAAACTTTTGGCGGGTCGAAGAAGGTGCCTAGGGCCAGAGAGTTAAGCTATCTGGTAAACATAAAACATTTGAGCAGCAAAATGAAAAAAAAAGAAGAAAAGAGAACATTTTGTATCGGAGAAGTTAGAGAGAGAGAGTGTGAAAAATCGAGAGACGCAGGAGACTTAATTGATCAAAAAAGAGATTGGTGCAATAAAAATGTTCCATTTTTAGAACGAAAGAGTTACATCATTTTTCAGAGGAAACTATCCAAAGCAAGCCATTCGAGTCTAACAGTAAAAAAGCACTACCGTAACCCGAAATATTTCAATATTTTGGCTAGATTTTTGTCCTTTTTTTCAGCAATTTTTTTCACCATTAAATGGGGACCAACGTTTTTTATTGCATTTAAATTTTTGAAAGGTTAGTTACTACGAAACCGGTGGAACTTCAAATCGGAAACTTTTGAAATCGAGGATCTATTGTTTTTGCCCGACGCTAACACGATTTCTTCTCTGTAATATGTGATTTTTGCTCAAATTGAAAAATGAAGATTTATTGTTGGCAATTCCGGAAAAATTATACCTATTTCGAAAATCGCGTTTCCAGAAGTTCGTTCCTTCTTCCGTCATCCATGAAAAAGTTTTATTTCCGTCTTCCGTAAAATTACAAATAACCGAAGACCAGTATTATCATTTGTATAATTTATTATTATTGAATTTTTCGAAACTCTTTCAGCGTTACCATCTAACTGCGAAACCGATAACAAAATTCGAATCTACCGTATTGTCCAGTTCAAAATGTCCAATTTTAATTACTCGATTTTCCTCGTTCTTCTTCTGTTGTATATGTTTCTTGCCAATTAAGTATTTCTTTTTTGAAATATTTCCTG